AGAAATCATGTTTTACAACTCACTAACAACAGGAGCAATACATACACAGTCTCTTCTTTCTTTTCTGATAAAATGAACACAATTGGATGAGTATTTTCTAAGATATAGCGATTTCTTTGGGTTGCGTTTTTGAACACCCTGTACTTACTAAAAAGTCCCAAACCCGTTTAAAATGCTAATTTTGCGATTGTACTGTCCTATTGTTCTGATTTTAAGGGTTCTTTATTCGAAAATTTGATTTTCGCAGTTATATTTTGTATTCATTTTCCAATGATTTTCTAGAAAAGTCAGGTCCCTATAGACCCCGATTGACACAACAATAAAAATCATTAAAAGCGTAACACAGCTGCGATATTAAATCACAATCTTCATTTCAACAAGATCAAATAGTTACTATAATCCAATAAGTATAACTTGATGAATTAAAAATAAAGTAACTTTAGCCAGTTCCTCCAAATAAAAGTCTAGTGCATCTTATTCCATCTATATAATAAGCTGGTACATGAATCTTTTGGATAATTCACTCTCTCTCTCAATGATTACAGATTCTTAAAGAAACTTTTCAATGGATTATTTTATCTTCAAGATGATTTCAATAAACTGGATTTATATAACGCCCTTGTTTTCTTAAAATAGACTGATCCAGAAGACTCGCATTGGGTTGTCACATTGTTTTTATACGGGAAGCTTCTCGTAACCCTTTAAGACAATGCTTTTGGTTCAAGGGTTCGAGTTTGACAAAGGTGTTAACTCGGTCTCTCATTCAAATGATCTCTATATAGGCTTGAATGAAAGAGTATAATGCATCCCCTCCTTTGACCCACCCTGTTGACACAGCAATAACGATAACATTTTGGAAGGTCTTGGATTGGATGTTTTACAATGAGGGGAAGAGAGGTACATTATTCATTCTTATCCCACACATTCTCTAATATAAACGCTGTAAAGGAACTGAATGATCAACTTCAACAATCAACTCAACGACTTCAACAATCAACTCAACGACTTCAACAAAGATATTCAGTGTCTAAATGCACAGAAGCCCCCAATGTCAATTTCAGCTCTTGTTTCCTTACAATTCATAAAATGGAACGAGCTTTTTGGAGAATTAAAAAAATTCACAGAAGCAAGTATCATTGAGTATAATAGCTTTCAGTGCGTCTTTATTTCCGACACAGACCTATCGGGCATAACAAGATCGATGATTTTGCAACTCGTATACATTGTATACGAAGAATCAATTCAACTGGATCACTTGAACTGTTGGAATAAATAGAATTGTGCAACCATGGCAATATAAGAGAACATGACATTTAAATATCAATGCGTACATCTGGATATACATGTACATGTACGATATATTTTTTAAAGGCACCTTAAATCTTTCCTTCGCCAAAAGCAGCGTCATGTGATTATAAATATGTGTAATGGAACAATATGCAACAACAATAAATATAAATCGTTAATTATATAATAATTACTAACTGAAATATCCGATAAAAAACTTCAGACCAAGTAACGTTTCCTGGAATTACATATGAAGAATATAACTATTTAACAAATGACTAGATCAATAATTGTTCAAGATAATACTTGTAGGCCTATTGTGTTATATCTTTTAAATTCGACTATATGAGCACCGGAGAAAGATCAAAATCAGCTAGGGTGCAAGACATTTAGGATTGTTCGACTAAAGGATGAATGCAAATGTAATTTTTACCAATAGACGGATACGGGCTTCACCTATAATTACACGAGGTTATCGGGTTATTGGTTCGAGCTGACTGTGTGATAGAGAATGAACAAGGCAGATATAGCTATAGATTCAAAACTGGATTTCCCGAAAAACCGCAATGTATATACTCATATGTCGACTTGATATCATACAATATAACATTTGTTTGCTAAATCCAATCTCAGTTTACCAACCGAAACAAATGATATCGTTTAAAATTAATTTGAGAAGATCACGAAACCATTTGATAAACGTCACGTTTAATCACAAGCTACAAACTCTTAAATGGATAACATTCACTGTGTGTCTCTATGTAATCTATTATGCCTCATCCCACCCGTGAAATGTTTGGTTTCCTTTTGTTCTGAACAGTTGCCTCGGATTTAATTGACCAAAATTAAGTAAAAGTAAATTCAAAATGGTAGTGTCCTTCGTTTTGATATATTTTTATTGTCCCTTCGCGTTTTATACAAGCAATATTTTCAAGTCAAACAATTTCAGAAAAATGTAAGCCTATTGAATATGCGCAAAATCGAACGTTTTACTTGTACTGTTTTAAGTATAACACTTTATTAATTATTGATTTAATGTATTATGCTTTATTCTTATAAAATATCTACCTTGTTTTTTTCTTAAATCAGTCGCGCTAAATCAGTTGCATTGAAACATCTACTCATATCGATGTTCTCGCAATATAAAAGTACCTAATAACTCCGCTGTATTTTCAGGTATACCCAAGTTCAATATAATGCCTCAACTCGTAAATGGGGAGAACCACTTTGATCATTGGTCACATACTTTTACAAGTGGAAAACGACCGTTCACATTCACAGATGGTAAACAAAAACATACAATACAAAACAGTATATAGAGATTATCCTATATGAGGTTCAGGATATTGGGATTATCCCGAGGCCAATATAATATATTTGCCCGAGGGCCGCAGGTCCCGAGGGAAAATATGTTATATTGGCCAAGGGATAATCCCAATATCCTGAACCGACTATAGGATAATATGTTTATCCCATACCAATCTTAGTCATCTGGTTCACATTGTTCAATCGTGGAAATATTTTAGAATATTCACGTCCAGTTTTGTTTTCTTGGCCGTGGGCGGACTTTCCTGTTCTCTCAAATATTCCCACATTTATTTTCTCGGATTTTTGATTGATTAAGTGGATGCTCCTTCCCTTTTTTATACCATCAAACAGATCCAGATTGTCTGTGTTTTCTCCATTGTCGTTTACAGTCATTACGCGAACGTTACAAATTATGAACAAATATGCGAGCGGCGATTATGACGTAGCGGGCAGATATACTATATCTGCCCGCTCGGAGCGGGACGTAAAGCTATATCTGCCCGCTGATGAAAATATAAGTTTTTACAAACCGGCTTTATGTACCTGTAACACGTCCAAGTATGGGATAAAAGAGTTTATCCCATGTTTGCAAGGATATAGATTGAATATCACTTGAAGATATATTTGATATGTGGATCAAGATATCAAACCATCGAATATCACTTTTAAACTATCGTTAAATTTTGAAATGCCTCTAACTTTTATTTCCATTTATGAGTTGAACCACTATGATACTTGACAAATCAATGTAACTTTAATTTGAAAAAGCTTCAAAATGAAATATGACAATATACCATTGGTATATGTCTCCCTAGGGGGTCCCATACTTTTGGGATACCCTGTAGTTGTAAATTAAACATTTATTGTATTACCTACTAATTCAGGTAGTACAAGGAACCTTATTATGTCACCACCAAAGGTTGTGACATATGATCTCCGTTTTTTGTGACGGCGGTTTGCGGGTGGCGGTTGATGGTTGGTGGTTGGCGGTTGGCGGTCGGCGGTCGGCGTCTCTATTAAATATTTACAACTTCCAGCCCCGTAGCCAACTTTTGCCAAAGAGGTTCACTTTTCAGAAGAATTCCAGGGGGGGGCTCACTTTGACAAAGGAGCACGTGGGTTATCGCAAACAATTTCAGAAGGTTATATCTTGGATTAAGACTATTTTCTGACAACGAAGACAGGTTTATCTTTTAGATCAATTCATTATCTCAAAGAAAATTATATACAGTAATAATAAAGTCACACAAACTCGGAGATATTTAACTAGCAATCAACCCATCAACACACTTTTTCAAAGATGTTGACCCCATTTTCCCCAAAAATGCAATAATTTTTTACAATGTTTAATGCATTACTATTCTTTATTTTGATGTATCAACTAGTTCTTGAAAGAAAAACTTAATTGCTTTAAGATAAGTGTTCCCCATGTTATTTCTCCATTGAAAAATCTTATGCTATCCATTGGTTTCAGTTCATTTTGGTCATCCAAATTCAGTATCTTTAAAGTCCCTGGAGTAATCAACTTTTCCTTTTAGGAAATCGAACATGTCTCAAAGCACATTCTGATTATGCATTCAACAATATAATAAAAGGTTGCATTTTTGGTGAAAATTAAGTCAACATTTTTGAAAAAGTATGTTGATTGGTCCATTGCCCCTTCAATATCACTTAAGTCTGATTAACTAAATTATCATTATATATACTTTTCTTGAAGATAATGAATGGATCTAAAAGATACACCCATGTTCATGATCAGAAAATATTCATAATTCAAGGTAGAATCGTTTAAAATTGTTTGCAATAACCTACGTGCTCCTTTTGCCCAAAATCAAACGGAAAATGCTCAGAATCATAAAAAACTGCATGCTTTTGTTCCCCTCGAACGCCTCCCCCCTACTTCCAATAAATTAACAAATAGGTATACTGTTTAAACTGACTTCAAATTCTTTCAAATAATCTACAAGTTCTCAGAAATTAATCTGGTTCGAGACTTGACCTTCAATGACCTTTTCAAGGTCAAAAAGTCAAAAAGGGTATTTTTTCAACTTGCTTCAAATTGATCGTTTTTTTAAATCATCTACAAGTTCTCAGAAGTTCACATCTTACTTGACTTGACTTTTCAGTTATCTTTTCAAAGTAAATAAGGTCACAAAGGTATTTTTCAACTTGCCTCAAATTGACTAATTTTTCTTTTCAAAATTATCTACAAGATCTCAGATGGAACTCATAATATTGTGAGCAACTAGGTGGTGACATAATGTTAATGGCTTGTTATAACGAATAACTTGAAGTAGTTATGACGCTACACTTGGGCGGAGGTGCTCAGGCTTAATCGATACACTATAATGATACCGTATTGATTATGTATCTATTAATTATGTTTTTACTATTTATTTTTACAGACCGTCTGTAATGTGTTATGAAACAACATACTGTCGAGCTTTGAAGATCACAGACATAGCCTAGTCTCAATTAAGGTCAACATTTACGCACTGAAAAGGGAAAGTAATCTACTACAACGAGAAGGAAGCCCCGCACACTATATTAGAAGCATAATGAATCGTCTGACCAAATTGAAACAACCTGATGACGGACCTAATTGGAATGTTACATACGTCCGACTCTATAAGTTTACTAACCGGAAGTCGCATGTATGTTGATCAGCAGCCAATCCAACTAGCTGCATAGAATCTTGATTGAACCAGATATAACTGCGAATACTGATGGACTTCATAAGGACGGGGGCTACCGGCAAACTACTTCAATTCAATCAATAAAGTTAATGTTTTAAATAAAAGCTTGGATAATCACACCTATCACGTGAATAACATGCAATATATTATCATTCGACATTTATGCATTATGTGTCTATATGAAGTATTGAATTAAATCGTAATGGACGCACCTCCAGTCAACTCGTCTCATACGAAGACGTGGCCACCATGGAATTCTTCAGACTTATTGACAATAGCACCGAATGTATCAAACACAAGCTCATTATTTATGGACAATGTGTGTGATCAATCATTTTGGGAAACTCGTCTTCAAGTTGAATTTTACGTAAGAGGAGTTATTATTCCGATCATTTGTTTTGTTGGACTCATCGGAAGTTTTCTAAATTTAATAATCCTGACTCGGCCAAATATGGTGAATCCAATTAATATGTTTCTCCTTGGATTGGACATAGCGGATATAGGAGTTTTGTTTATACTTGGTATTTATTACACGTACTTTTACAGCAGCCAAAAGTGGATTTTGATAGAAAGTAACTCAACAGAATGGCTCACCACTGTCCCCTTGTGGCCATGGCGAGTATTTTGGGCAGTGGCCGTAATTCCAGCTAATTTCTTTGCAACCGTGTCCAATACCCATGCTTTGGGAGTATCGGTGTTCCGGTATATAGCTGTAAGATTTCCAGTGAAAGCTCATAATTGCTGCTCAAATAATTCGGCTAAGAAAATCATCATAGCAATATACATTTGGGGATTACTTTTGAACTCACCCGACTTTTTCCAGAAATCAATGATGGAAGGAAGCATTGGAAATTTCACATTTAACTACATGGGCTACAGCAAATTATTTCACAATCGTGTATTTAACATGATCTACTATCCTGTCCGAGTCATCTTTAACATTTTGATACCATGGTTTGCTTGCTTATTGCTCAGCATACTACTTATCACAACATTGCGACGTAGAATGGCTGCAACGGATAGGAGACGGTCTGTTGCTGCTTTAGTGAAGAATACTTTGCGCTCAAAACGGAAAGACAAAATAACAGTAACTCTTCTTGCTGTCAACTTGAGCTTTTTAATTTGTCAATTCCCTGCAGCTGTTTGGGGAATGTTGACGTGGTTGGTCGAGAACAGGGACATGTTTTATTGCCATTCATTCCAGATTGCAAGAGCGTTCATTGATCTGTTGGGCGTCTTGAATTTTGCTACAAATTTTTTTCTGTATGCAATAACTCATAAAGATTTCAGACAGACGTTTTCACGTGTTTTCGGTCTTCAAAAACTGAAGACTGGGCTTTTCGCTAGTAGAAAAAATAATAAGGCATTATATAGTGAGATTAGAACTAACAATACCACGAGACAGACCAACGTTTGACTTAGTATAAAGTGGATCGCTGCGTATTTTACATTTTTATCAACTTTACTTCGCTTAAAATCACAGTCGGTATGCAGTTATGATTTGGGGCAAGCCAAATCATTAGTTTACCTTCTTTCCAAGTTTCGAATTATCAAAGACGCTGTACTGAGCCACTCTATTTTCGATGAGATATAATAATTACAATCAATTTGCGTTTAATGCAGGCCCGTAGCCAGGATTTGCCAAGGGGGGGGGTCAGTTTTCACAAATTTCCAGGGCGGGGGGTTCACATTTGACAATTTTGGCCCAAATATGGCTAAAATCACTTGAGAAGTGCTCAAAATGGTAAAAACTGCATGATTTTGAAAGAAATTTTGGCCAGGGGGGGGGGGGGGTTCGCCCTGGCTACGGGCCTGTAATGGTTATGCTTTAAATCTTCATGGGTCTACTTGTAAATATTTACAAAAGTGCAGTTTATCGTCAATGTCAGTCTTCAGAAATAGTGCATGCTCTGGAAGAGTTGGAACAACTGAAAGCATCCAGATAGATATAGTATTAAGTTGAAATACTGCATATCGCGAACACTTATACATTGGCAGAATAAGATGACGTTGGTTTAGAATTAAAAGTAATAGTTTCACAACTGAATCACCTATCTGCTCGTAAGTCTAATGGCAGGGAAACCATTGGATCTTTTCGCTGAACTTCAGCTGTACATTGTTTCTAAATGACAAAATTATTCGTCAAAGTTATCAGCCGGAAAAAATGAAAATGCTCAATTGGTGAATTTGGATGAAAACGTGGTTTCATTTAGGATAATAAAGTTAGGCGAATCGACAGAGAGTTAGCGACCATGACAACGTTGCATGTTGCTCTTATTCTATGGCATTAGTAAGTGCATGTAAATTGTAAATCAACAGACAGTTATTGTTTAGATGAGTCATTTACTGAACTTTTTAAATTGGATATTATATTGCATATTTATAAGTATATTTGTATTGCTCAGAAGTACATGTATATATTTAAGGAATTGGTTGTCCAGAGCAACAACATTATGCTAGTCAGGGGCGTAGCCAGTTTTAGTCAGGGGGGGGGTGCGATCGCCAAAAAATCGGTTTTCAGATAAAAGCTTCAAATAAAAGGCATTTATTTTAAAGCTCTTTTCCTCTTCTATATCATAGTTATATTCTTATTGGTTCTGAGGGCTACGCCTATGCTAGTTTTGATGGATGTGTGTCAGCTATGTGGATTGCTATTATAGGGTGGAATGGTAGCATGTGTTTTCTTACCAAGAAATACAGCTATGGAAAGGAAACCTTTTTTGTATATATATAAATAAAATATTCACGTATCTACGTCAGTGTACTTGAAAGGGGACTTTGTGAGACTAGTTTTATTAGTAGAGATGGTGCTTGATTTTGAGAAAGTTATTATTACACACGTGTATATCTGATATATACCAACACGTGAGATATAGCGTATGTGGATGATGTATATTGATTAACTTACAAAATAATGAGTTAATATATCTTACAGGTTAGAAATCCACCTGCACCAAGTATCACTTACTTACTTTAATTTTCCTTTTTAAGCTGCTCTTTCAAATCTGTCGACTAATTTTTATATAGATAATTGCCAGATGCTTTTATGATCGAAAAAACATTCAGACACTATAAATACGGTTGATATTTCACATATTCGTAAACATACATAATTATTAGCTGAAATTCAAGACTTCGAAATATTTATAGCCGGCTTAATATAGTTCTGCAATCTAGAAAACGTACTATAACAGGAGATTATTCTTACGAATAAAGAGTTGAACTAAACGATGTGTACGTCACTTGGAGTGCAGGTTTTGAAAAGTTCATCAAATATGTCATTAATCTTCGACATGTTGTGAAAATGAGTAATGGCTAGCTTAGGGAAACATTACACTATTACTGGCTAATTTGAAATTGCTGATTCGTGTTGTTGGACGTAAACGGTTTCCTTTTGATGTTATTGTCAACTGGAATAGCCAGTCGAGCTTACATAAACAGGCGTGTACTAGTGTAAGAACAATTGGGGAAATATTCAAAAGTCTTAAGTCACATTGAGTTATTGATATTTAGGGAACATATCGGTATAAAAATTTACGACAGGTAATTTAGTGCTTGTACGTGGATGATCCCTGTCTGCTCAAAACGAAAGTGCTGATTTGGCATTCCCATGAAGAACATGAACAGACAAATGACAGCTCTCTCGGTTGATATATATAGACGATATACAGTATATATTGGAGCTTCCAACACAGTTCTGTATCTGGCGTGTCACATTTCTCTTGGCAATGCTTATTCCCCCGAGTAGCCCTCGGATCATTACATTAGTGTCATATGTGACATAGCATTAGTTGTAACCTTTTCACCGTGGTGTGTGTGATGTAGATGCAAGTAACAGCAGGACTGACCACAGGGGCGTAGCCCTCTCAAAGAGTGGGGTAGTGTAACGGTCCTGTATAGTTGCCACGGTATCACAGCTTAAAGGGATAATCTTTGTCAATCCATTTTCGTTTTATCTGGTAGCTATAATCATTTATATACTTTCCGTGTTTAGCAAATCTTGAGAAAATGTTTTGATATGGTCAGTGCTCATTTTAAAAAGGCTGCCTTCTTGTAAGATTCCGCACTGGAAGTCTTGTCATTGACAATTAACCTTAACCACCTTGCCCACAACGAGTGGTCCTTACTTCATAACTGAAGAAGTACATTCAATTGATTCTGTGCTCTTTAGCTAATGCTATATGCTTCAATAGTCGATGACATTCTCTTTTAAGTAAGTCGGTCAGATCGACTTCAACAAAGGACGATGAATCGTTTACACATCTTTCCATGTCTGTATCTTTGCTATATACTTAAAACAAAACAAACAAAATGGTTTCACTATTATCCCACTATTGCACATATCTTTCTCCATTAATCATATCATTGATTTGTATGACATATTGTCTCCTCTTCATCCGTGACTTGATACCTCGTGTAAATAAAAGACGGCATGCAGATGTCATATTTACGAAGGATCTTAAATATAGAATGTAGAGGGGTTTTAAACTTGCACTGATTTCACAACGTAAACGGAAATATTTAAGCGTGAATATGAAATCAATCCAGAGGTTAAGCTTGTACCTTTTCACAACTTTCATGAATGTGCAGCATTCATACTTCTATATGCGCTTCAGAGTTTCGTGTTTAGAACGGCAATTTTGAAATTTAGGAAGTGCATATGTCTTGATTCTTGTAAAATACCATTTGCTGAAAAAATTCCGGCTTTTGGGTCGAAAAATGTCTTTCATCACAAGGGGTCAAAAAACGTAAATATTTTGATTTGAACTTTTATACATTTTATAAGACACAGACCGTTATTCTAAGCATACGAACAAAAAATAGCACAACGTGAAACACTCTTTTCTAAGCACTACTAAGAAAGAATACTTAATGTCTTATCCATAAGTAATAAGCACTACTAACTACTAATTCTCAGGAATAAAAAGTTCACACTTATCATACCTATTGAGAGATAAATATTGCTTATCCTCGGCCCAGGTACGTCTTATCCGTGTGTCATGTGACTACTGCGTTAATTAACTAAGTAAAGCATTTCAATTTAAGTGTAGTATGTTTGCATGCAGCAAGCATTTAATCATTTTTGAATTTTGATTAAAAATAACTCCTTTGGATCAAATATTTAAATTCTACTAGAGTGCGGGGAGTGGAAACAAGTCTCCATTCAAGCACTGAATATCAAAAGAAAGATTTCAGGACCCCTTAACTTCACTCCCGGACTTTTCTATTCAACACCACCCATCCCCCTTCCCCAATTATCCCTAATGATCCCAGAATGTTCGTTTCTGTGCCCCCTGTCAATGGCCAGTAATTAATCTATGTGTATATTGTCTCCCTCCAAAAGGTAGGAAAAACCAGATGCAGACATAAACATTGACAAGGTGAGGGGATTTAAATATAAAAATAGTCTTGTTTTTGGCTCTGACTTAAATATCTTGACACTGTTTAACGAAGCCGGTTTAAGGAATGAGAGGCAGAAATAATTCCTAGATGATCTTTCTTTACTGTAATTAAGATGCTACTTAACCGCAATTTTAAAAGGGATTAAGTTATTTACCTTGTGATAATTTAATACTACTTATTGATTGGTTTGCCAAATATAATACCCCGTATAAGACCCTTGTCTCTGATTGTAAAACATCTGTATGCACCAAATCCGAGGAATATTACATTATGTGAAACAATTCCAAAAAGTTTTGTCTTGAACTCAATCAAATAGCAATATATTTCAACATGTAGAAATTATTTATTAACATAATGTCGGGCACTATAGGTTAAAGGGTTTTCAGTTTTGCTCTTTTTGTGTCACGCTTGAATTGTGTGCTTTATTTATTTGGGATTTGAATTTGGAAAGGTGAATTCACGATCAATAAAGTTTATAATATCATTCATTAACCAATACATCGAGGCAAAGCCACCTTTCAAATACATCATCTATTATGCATGTCCATTTGTAGCAATCACACGGCCCATACCACTAGGGGTATGTAGATGTTAATGAATGGGAAATTTTCATCTTTTTATTTTTATGTTTTCATTAAACAGCCAGAAAAAACTATTTTTCATTTCCCAAGGAATTCAAAATGTATCTAATATATTATACAATCATACAGACTGGCTATTCTAATCCGTTATGAAAGGCCATTTGTTTTTTTTCCACTACAGGACGTTTCTTCAGAAGTTAATTAATTGTTTATCTTAGTGTTTAGATGCATTGTCCCTTGACGCTTTCATGAAATAAATGAACTTTGTGATGGACTACAATTGTATATTTTTACAGGAACAGTTATTTTTATCACCAAAGTAGAGCACTTGTTACATTATTTTCATTTTAGGTCTCTCTTATTAGTTGCATTGCAGAAGTCTAATATTATTCTCTCCGTGTGCCGAATGTACTTATACCCGTAGCCAAGGGGTGGGGGTGGTTCAAGGAGTGCGAGAATTGGAATTGAATACAAAATAAATACGTAACATATAAATATATAAGTACATAATATCTAGCCAAGTCTTCTTGCATTTTCTGAACTTCAAATGCGCCTTTTGATGTGTGGTAACAAAATACTAAATAAATATTTATGTTACTCCAGCTTGTTTTCATGTTAATTTGGCAATAAAACATGTATAAAGAGATAGCAAATTGTGCACAACCC